GGCAAAACACCCAAAACACAAGCAGGAAGTGCAGACGGCTGCAGTAAAGGGCTGGCAGAGCATCACCAGGGAAGAAACCCAGCATCTGATGATGCCTATGTGTCCAACACTTCAGGCAGTCATTGACTGTAAAGGATTTGCAACCAAGTATTAAAACTGACTGTTTAATTGATGATTATGTTAGTTTGTCCAAATACTTATGAGCCCTTAAAGTTGGGGGACTGTGTGAAGAAATGGTTGTAATTCCTACACGGTTCATACTACATTTTTGAAAAAAGCCTTAAATGAAAGCTGAGAGTCTGCACTTTAAGCACGTATTCATTGTTTCATTTAAAACCCATTGTGGTGGTGTACAGAGCCAAAATGACGACAACTGTATCATTGTCCAAATAATTATGGACCTGACTGTATATATATATATACACATACACACACACACACACACACACACAGTATGTGTGTACACACACATATAGATAGATCATAAAGCTTCTAAAATGGAGAGGGTTTATCCTCTGTGGAGCATGACATGTTCTCAGTCAATTAGATTTGAGTTAGGTGGTGTAAATGATGATGCTAGAGGAAAGGTCAGGGCTCATTAAAATGGTTTGCATTCATCCTGTGGGGACATGAGTGATTTTCTTTATGGTGTTGAACAACATGATCTTTCAGGACCGGAAAGAGGACTCAGTGGGGGCTGCTGATGGATGGCTGGAACTCCATGATCCGATATTACAAAAACAACTTCTCTGATGGTTTCAGACAGGTGGGTCCAAACCTTCATTGATACTAATGCTATGGTATCTGTTTGTTTTACAGTCATACTAATACAATGAGCATTAGTGGCATCTCTGCCAGATAAGTCCTTGTGCAAGGTGAAATAAACCTGTTTCTTCTTGATTAGAAGGATGGGGCTGCTGCTTCACTATCTTTACCATTACAGCATCCATCCAGTCCATGTTGTAATGTAACTACATATATGAATGCACCATATGGACTAAAAAACAACCTGCACATCAACAATGTGTGAGAAAATGTCTGCAGGGCACTCAAACACTTTGGGTCTCAATCATGAGATGTTATTAAATCTGTTAGTAGATTGGCACATAAAAACCTTGGTACTAAAAATCTACACCAGATTAGAGCTTAGATTCTCTGCCCGAGCCCGAGCCCGGGCCGGGTCGGGCCGGGAGCCCCCCTCCCTCTGACGGGCCCAGGCCGGGCCGGTCAGATATGATGTTTTTTTTTTTTTTTTTTTTTAAAGCTATGATTTGATAATGTTATAGGCTATGTATTGTAGCGACCCTGCAGTAAATGTTCTGTTAATAAGTCAATGTTCTGTGAGTTAATGGCATGTTTGGGATTAAATGAGGTGCGGGGTGCGAGTGTGACGGGGATGAGGAGGGCTGTGTGAGTGCGCGTGTTGGTGTGTGTATGAGCGAGCTGGAGGAGAGAGCAGGAGTGCACAGATGGAGTTTCAGCTAAGTTGTTGTTTGTTGGTTGTTTTGGCGTGGTTACGGCCAACAGTAACCTGTACTGTTCAGTAATAAACGGTGGTTTAATTGCCGAATAACTGCGTCATCCTTTCCACACATCCAGTGTTGCAACATTGTGCGCGTACAGCCCTTCACCACCTGGATCCTAAAATAAACACCTGTTTTATTACATAATCATGCTTCCGTGTTGCGCCATTCATTAAGATCCTATATTTCTGTCATTCAAATAACAAGAATTGTGGTTTAATACTCTTAATTATAACAGCCAACTTATTGAAAAATGTCGGGTTTAAATCGGGCTCGGGCCCATAATTACAGTTAATTGGACAGGCCGGGCCGGTCCCGAACATAACGTGCTCGGGCCGGGTTGGGCTGGATTTTTTGGGCCCGATCTAAGCTCTACACCAGATTCAGGAACCCCATCGGAAACTCTTAGACAAGTGTGTATGTTCATGAATGCCAATCAATCATAAATTGACAGCGCGGTCCTGCTAGTCAGCAATTAGCATACATCCCCACCCATGAATAGCCAGTGACCACCATATAAGGATGTGATAAATACTATGGATAGATTCATGCTGTTGACCTATGAACATGGAGCAAACAAAAGAGAGAGAGAGAAAAAGAAAAACTTTTCTGATGCTGAGATTGAAGGTTTATTAGGTGAAGTGGGGTTGAGAAAAACATTTTATTTTCTTCTGTTAGTAGTGGTGTGACAGGGACAGGTCAATCAAAGGCCTGGAAGGAGGTAATGGATGCCATCAACTCTGTGTCCTCTGTTGTAAGAACCATCTAAGAAGTTAAATGAAAATGGTTCGATATGAAACTTGATGCAAAGAAATGCTTAAGTACAAACAAAAACCCACAACAGCTACAGGAGGCTCTTCGTCTCAGCTCTCTGCTGCAGATGAATGCATTGCTTGCATTGTAGGAGAGACCTCTGTCAGGGGAAACAGCCACATGCCTCCACTGGAGCAGTCAACAGCAAACTCACAAGGTATGGTGATGTACAGTACAGGCCAAAAGTTTGGACACACCTTCTCATTCAATGCGTTTTCTTTATTTTCCTGACTATTTACATTGTAGATTCTCACTGAAGGCATCAAAACTATGAATGAACACACGTGGAGTTATGTACTTAACAAAAAAAGGTGAAATAACTGAAAACATGTTTTATATTCTAGTTTCTTCAAAATAGCCACCCTTTGCTCTGATTACTGCTTTGCACACTCTTGGCATTCTCTCCATGAGCTTCAAGAGGTAGTCACCTGAAATGGGTTTCCACTTCACAGGTGTGCCTTATCAGGGTTAATTAGTGGAATTTCTTGCTTTATCAATGGGGTTGGGACCATCAGTTGTGTTGTGCAGAAGTCAGGTTAATACACAGCCGACAGCCCTATTGGACAACTGTTAAAATTCATATTATGGCAAGAACCAATCAGCTAACTAAAGAAAAACCAGTGGCCATCATTACTTTAAGAAATGAAGGTCAGTCAGTCCGGAAAATTGCAAAAACTTTAAATGTGTCCCCAAGTGGAGTCGCAAAAACCATCAAGCGCTACAATGAAACTGGCACACAAGGACCGACCCAGGAAAGGAAGACCAAGAGTCACCTCTGCTTCTGAGGATAAGTTCATCCGAGTCACCAGCCTCAGAAATCGCAAGTTAACAGCAGCTCAGATCAGAGACCAGATGAATGCCACACAGAGTTCTAGCAGCAGACCCATCTCTAGAACAACTGTTAAGAGGAGACTGCGCCAATCAGGCCTTCATGGTCAAATAGCTGCTAGGAAACCACTGCTAAGGAGAGGCAACAAGCAGAAGAGATTTGTTTGGGCCAAGAAACACAAGGAATGGACATTAGACCAGTGGAAATCTGTACTTTTGTCTGATGGTTCCAACCGCTGTGTCTTTGTGAGACGCAGAAAAGGTGAACGGATGGATTCCACATGCCTGGTTCCCACTGTGAAGCATGGAGGAGGAGGTGTGATGGTGTGGGGGTGTTTTGCTGGTGACACTGTTGGGGATTTATTCAAAATTGAAGGCACACTGAACCAGCATGGCTACCACAGCATCCTGCAGCGACATGCCATCCCATCCGGTTTGCGTTTAGTTGGACGATCATTTATTTTTCAACAGGACAATGACCCCACACCTCCAGGCTGTGTAAGGGCTATTTGACCAAGAAGGAGAGTGATGGAGTGCTGCGGCAGATGACCTGGCCTCCACAGTCACCGGACCTGAACCCAATCCAGATGGTTTGGGGTGAGCTGGACCGCAGAGTGAAGGCAAAGGGGCCAACAAGTGCTAAACACCTCTGGGAACTCCTTCAAGACTGTTGGAAAACCATTTCAGGTGACTACCTCTTGAAGCTCATGGAGAGAATGCCAAGAGTGTGCAAAGCAGTAATCAGAGCAAAGGGTGGCTATTTTGAAGAAACTAGAATATAAAACATGTTTTCAGTTATTTCACCTTTTTTTGTTAAGTACATAACTCCACATGTGTTCATTCATAGTTTTGATGCCTTCAGTGAGAATCTACAATGTAAATAGTCATGAAAATAAAGAAAACGCATTGAATGAGAAGGTGTGTCCAAACTTTTGGCCTGTACTGTACGTGTTATTGTCAGTGTTAAATCACTGTACATTTTGACAGCCATCACTGATAGCGTAGTGTTTGGTCAGTAACTTCGGCCTCATCGTCTCACCACTCAAACAGAGGATACATTTGTAGAGTTCTCGCTCCTCATTGATTAGAGTGGGAACAGAAATGTAGAAGACACGTATTGATTGATTTAAATAACACATTCTCATTTTTAAGACCTAATGGAAATCCGCTATTTGCCAACTAATTGAGTTAAATGTGTTATATTTCTAATCTCTTGCCATGTTTAACTTACATGTTTTAAAGGCATCTCTGTATTGTGAACATAATAGAGCACAATACAAAGTTGTCAGAAGAAGGTGTAGATTTTACCTACGAAAAGATCGGAGCAAATAACATATTAATGAATGCCGAAATGCACATAAATTTCCTTCTGCTAACAGTTTACACACAAATTCGTTCTGCTCACATTTGATTAATGAGACCCAGAGAGTGTATATTATAAGTCTGTACACACTGCCTACTAAATAAAGAGTTGTGGTTGTGAATACCAGCATGACCAACATGACTATCAATCACAACGTGACCTGTCTGAGCTACCGTTGAATGGAAACTGTTTATCACAAATGTAAACTGCATTACCTCTTCCTCAAAATGTAATATTTTCCAGTCTTGCTTAAAGGCAGATTAGAAGTATTAAATATTTAAGTGTTGAGTCACTCGCCATCATTTTGTCAGTAACGTAAACTGTCTGCCTTGCAGTCCACCATTGGACAAGCTGAAGAGCTGCAATGCATGATGAGGTGGTTTAGTATCGTAAAACATCAATTACTAGCCCAGGCTATTATTTGCTTGAGTCACTGAACTCAACAGGGGTATACAAGTTTCTATATGGGACAGGCTTTTAATTCCTTTTACATAAAATTGTTGCTCAGCAAAGATAGGAAATACGATCAGATTGTTTATTTAAACCACTATGAATATTACTTGTATAAAAATTAGGCTTCAGATAACATCAATTATGAATCATTTGATTTAGCTCCGACAGAGTGCATCAGAGAGAGAGAGTTCTGACACTTGTTTTACGGCACCCGAGGATTATGGCACCAGGCATACCAACACAGCACCACTTTATCCTGTTAATATCTGTTAATATTTGCAACTTGTATTCATTTTTATGAAAAACCCCTTCGATTCTTTTAATTGGTGGACCCTTACGAACTAACAGAATATGACCTACTTAACTTACTGGGTTACTGCTACCATGCAGTAGATTTGAATGAATTGTCATCTTCTCATGGTTTCAGTAAAATGAACTGAATGGTTTAATTGTGGAGATTCTAACCAAGCTAACGATGTGTAGCATCTCCATATTGATAAAAGTTTAAACATTTATATTTGTATGCATGATCTAAACAACTAACTAACGTTAGCTCAAGTGGGTAGCAAAGCAACCCAATTTTATACATCCAAAGAACTCCTATAAAAATGATGTGTTCGGCAACCAGACCAGACGTCTAATTGAGACAGGCCTTTATTTGTCAAAATGTGTAGCCACACTGTGCTAGTAAAATGGACTGGGCGTTTAATTGGGACTAGGCTTTTAATTGAAGTTTTACGGTATGTCCAGTCAGCTCACGTCTCTCATCCATGAATTCTTGGTACTATAGTATACACCCTGACATTTCTTGCATACAAAAAATCCTGAAGCTCTACACAACAAAACTGCCTAAAGCTGACTCGACAGAAGTATGAATAATCACAGAGCAGCTGAGTAGTCAATGCTGGCCACTTGGAGATACTCTCAACTGCAGAGTCAACTGCAGAGAAGAATTACTGTTGAAACAGTTGGTCTGTTTTAATGCAGGACTCAATTGATCTGTTCCTGGGGAACTATGCTGTGGATGAAACTGATTGGTCCACCCCACTGCATGACCCCAAAGACTGGAAGTTTCTGACGGTAAGAAGCGCTCAGGAAAATTGATAGTTTTTTCTTTCCAATGTCTTTAATGTGACTCTTGTCCTTTTTTAGTTGCCTATCGTCATGGTGGTAGCATTCTCCATGTGTATCATCTGCTTGCTAATGGCTGGTAAGACAAACCTGCAAGAAACTCAAATTAACAGGCATTTTCATACCTACAAATCATCTTAAAATGAATTAATGTCCACTATGCACTAATTACTATCATTGTAGAGTCCCCACAATATTTTGACAGGGGAGGCCAAATTAGTTTTAAATGTCTTCAACTGACTTGGTATGACCTCCTGTCCCCTGTCAGGTGACACATGGACTGAGACTCTGGCCTATGTGTTGTTCTGGGGAACAGCCAGCGTGGTGACGGGCGGCCTCATCCTCTTTAATGGACTGGACTTTGTAGATGCTCCCAAGCTGGTCCAGAAGGAAAAGCTGGACTGAATGTGTGTGTGTGGAAAGCAGCTAGGCCCTGGTGAGCTCACTACCTCATCCTCTAGCTCTTCATCACTTTACACCCAACATCAGCATCAGCAGGTCTGGAGCCTTTACTAACAGAGGGTGGAGTGGAGGAGGGGGGTGGTAAGTAGGGCCGGCCTCGTGTACCACGAAGGCGGAAAGACAGAGACTGGGAGTGCACGGGCCTGCTGCTGTCCACACTGCAGCTACTGACATGTGGACAGGTCTGTCTGTCCACAGTTTTACTGGACAATGAACCTCTGGAGTATATTCCTACTGTATGTGATTGTTCATGATTTCAGAAGAATGCTGTGAGATCCCACATAAATGTTTGTCCCACTTCATTCCCCTCATGGATGCATCGGGATCAGAATCAAAACAGCTGCTGTGATATCACAGTACAGCTGTACTGTTAATTTGCCTCTTGTCTTTTCTTTTCACCATTGCCATTTATGTCTTTCCATGTACAGTTGCTCTGTCCTGGGTTAAATGCTATCGGTTTCAGAGTCTTCAAGACCAGTAATGGATATGAGACTGTCCTGTTCCAATGGCCCCAAGGCATCCGGCCTTCTTTTACCAAAATTAAAATTACCCTGTAAGTGTGTTATTGCAAGTCCTCAGAATACCAAATATCAATTCATAACTTGACTTATGCATTTGAGCGGTCTCTATCACTTCATATAAAATATCAGGTATATATTAGACAGTATGGTTGGAATTTTTTGAAGTGGAGTTGTATGGGGTACTTATCCATAGACAGTGTATTACATACAAAGGATGTCAGTCGGCACTCCCCTACTTTGGAGGAGCAGGCTGGAGTCCAACGTGGAAGCTCAGGAATCGACAACTGTGGATGGGTCAGCAACAAAACATATTTTAGCCACCTAAAAAAGTCCCACCTTTAAACAAATCAATATCACTTTAAGTCTATGGTATGCTGAAAGTATTTTCAGTGCTTTACCTTTCCGTCAGACAGTTAGCTTTATTTCCCCATCTATGCTCTTGTCAAAGCCACCAGACTCCATTGACAAAAACAGTAATTTGACCTTGTGAAGCGAGAGAGCTGCTGGTCTACCGCTGCTTTAGTTAGTTCGTTTGTATTATTGTGTGACTTTGGTGAAACGAAACTAACCCTTTTAAACACCAAAGTCACATAATAACACAAACAAATTAACTGATGGAGACAGCAGTAGACCAGTAGCTCCTGTGCTCAGCAATGTTAAATCACTGTATTTCTCAATGGAGTCTGGCTTTGAAGATGGCGATAGAATGGCCTCATTTTTCCGTGGGAAATCACTGTCTGACATTAAGTTAAAGCAGTGAAAATACCCTCAATATAGCGTACACTGAAAATGATCTTGATATTTTAAGGTGGGGCTTTTCATAGGTGGCTAAAATATGTTAAATTGCTGACCCATCCACAGCAGTAGAATGCTTAGCTTCCATGTCAGACACCAGCGTGCTTCTCCAAACTGGGGGCATGCTGACTGACATCTACTGTATGTAACATAACTGTCTCTGGATAAGTACCCCATACAACCCACTTCAAAAAACTTGAACTATCCCTTTAACATATGTTTGTGATTATTATGAGTGTCACTGATAGTTACCAATACACAGTGAAAATCATGAGGTTGATCGATTAGAAGGCCACTGCAGAATGTAAATAATACTGTAGAAGGCAGAAATGCTTTGTTCCTGTTTGGAGCCTGTTTAACACTACATGTAGGCTGGTAACATTTCTCGTCAGTCAAGTGTATCATTAACTGACTGGTGTCATTAGGTGTCATGGAACTTTTAAATTAGAATTCGAATTCTGTGTTATTTACTTAATTCTTGCTCTCAGATGAGTCACTTGTGAGCAGGAATACAGAGAACATATAGTTAAACAGAATTGTTAACCTTTTAACATTAACACTTTAGAGGGATGTTAAAGACACTGTTGCTTAACATGCTAAATCTGACACAATATCAAGTAACTGCAGCAGCAGGAAGTCAAGTTACAGGTTGTTGTTTCAGAGCATTAGTGGCAGACTGGCAGCTGTCTTTGGTATTGAGGTGCCAACATTTACTTAGTTCATTCCTCCATAATAATATCATTGGTTATTACATTCATGTCATTTTTCCTTGTACCCGCCACACTTTCATTAAAGATACAATTGTGTTGCTATATTGGATGTTGTTTCAGCAGCACTGGTCAGCTGTTTGCTACACATGGACAATCTGATCCAAATGACTGTGTGATTTGATTTGGGACGGAGATGCATGGATATACTTAATATTTTGCTTGTTAAACAATGTCGTTATTTCTGAAATTCCTTCAGTGTACATTGAACAGAAATTTAAACATTTTTGCTCCAATTTTTCACAGGTTTAACTAAAAGATCTAAAGCTTTTTTATGAACTCGATAAATATGTTTCTCTCAAATTTTGGTCACAAATTTCTAATAATGTGTGTTATTGAGCACTTATCCTTGTCCAAGACAATCCATCCACCTGACAGGTGCGGCATATCAAAATGCTGATTATACAGCATCATTACTACACAGGTGTACCTTTGGATGGTCACAATAAAAGGACACTCTAAAATGTGCAGTTTGATCACACAACACAATACAGATGTCCCAGGTTTTGAGGGAGCGTGGCATTGGCATGCTGACTGCAGGAATATCCACCAGAGCTGTTGCCTGTGAACTGAATGTTAATTGCACTACTATAAGCCTAATGGCTACTGCAACAGTTGGTTTGCACAACTGAAGAATTTCTGCACAAACTGTCAGAAACTGTCTCAGTGAAGCTCATCTGCATGCTGATTGTCCTCACCAGGGTCTGGACCTGACAGCAATTTGTCATTGAAACTGACTTGCGCGGTTGTGATGCTGGTTGGATGTACTGCCAAATTTAGTTAAACGACATTGGAGACGGCTTATGGTAGTGAAATTAACATTCACTTCACAGCCGACAGCTCTGGTGGACATTCCTGCAGTCAGCATGCTAATGGCAAGCTCCCTTAAAATTTGGGACATCTGTGTCATTGTGTTGTGTGATCAAACTGCACATATTATAGTGTTCTTTTATGGTGACCATCCCAAGGCACACCTGTGTTGTAATGATGCTGTTTAATCAGCATCTTGACATGCCACACCTGTGAGGCGGATGGATTATCTAAGGAGAAGTACTCACTAACACGGACTTTAACAGGTTTGTGACCAAAATTTGAGAGAAATATACTCGTTGAGTGCCTGCTGTGTTTAAATTTTTGTTGAGTGTATTTGTTAAATGTAAACAATATTGTTTAATATTGTGTTTCTATGAAGTCGCATAATTTGAGTCAGGCAGTCATCCTGGCACTAAGAATGTTCAACTTGAGGATCACCCACATGCATTACTAATTTTTTTCTCTCTTAAGGTAGATTAATGCTTCTTCATTAGTGGGCCATAAGCAAGACCCATGTGGCACATACAAGTGACTTAAGAGAATTTGTGGCATTCTTCAGTTTACTTCTGTACTTAGAATCTACTCTTAGGTACAAACAAAATTCATAAATGGTCAGGACCTGTAGTTCGAGTCATGAACACCAGGGAAAACACTCATTTGACTTAAGAATTGTAATGCCTTAATGTGAATGAGTTTGGAGTTATAATATGATACTGAAAGTAATAAATAAAATGTTTTAATTAAGGCAAATTTACTGCAAAGTTAATGTTCTCTTCACCATATCATCATCTTGGCTGCCAGTTTCCTGAGATGTGTTTTGTATTTTATGAAATTTATAGGCCTGTTTTGGTACAGAACTTATACGTTACAGTAGTTCTATTAATCTAACAGCTGCCTTTGGGTCTTTCTGCAGGTCTCTGTGCATTATCATCCTCTGTTGCACCTGACAGTGTATGATCAATTACTCTAGGCTGTAATATTAATAATAATAATAATAATAATAATAATACATTTTATTTGGAGGCGCCTTTCAAGTCACCAAAGGTCACCTTACAGAGCATAGAAGAAAAAAGATCAGTAAGACATCATTAAAACAAAACATCAACATAAAAACAAGTGTTATGCACAGTGTCCAGTTTGAGAGAATCCAGCAGAGGTTGAGCGGAGGGTGCGGGGGGGAGTGTATTCCTGAAGGAGGTCACAGAGGTAAGTGGGGGCTATATTGTGGAGAGCTTTGTAGGTGAGGAGAAGGTTTTTGTAGTGGATGCGGTATTGTGCAGGGAGCCTGTGAAGTTGGATGAGAACAGGGGTGATGTGGTCAGATGATTTGGTGCAGGTGATGATCCGGGTGGCCGAGTTCTGAATGATTTGCAGTATTCTTCTGTCTGTTATCTCCATGACTTTCATGTTCTCTTGACTACCTCTCATGTTAGTCATAAACTGCTTTGCTTTAGAATGTTTTTTAGTGTTTGACTTCATATTTGCCTTACCATCTGTATAGCACTGCTCTGACAACATGTCATTGACAGCTGTTTATACTGCTCAAAAAATGAAGGGAACACTTAAATCACACACCCCAGATCTCGATGAATGAAATATTCCAGATGAAAATCTTAATTGATTACATAGTGTAATTTGCTGAGAACAAAATAATGTAAGAACAACCCATGGAAACCAAACTCATTTAGGTGGATGCTACGATACATGAGGTCACAAAGGTGCTCGATTGGATTCAGGTCTGGGTAACAGGCAGGCCAGTCAATAGAATCAGTGCCTTCGTCATCCAGGAACTGCTGACACACTCCAGCCACATGAGGCCGGGCATTGTCGTGCATCAGAAGGAACCCAGGGCCCACTGCACCAGCATATGGTCTGACAATGGGTCTGAGGATTTCATCCTGGTACCTAACAGCAGTCAGGGTACCTCTGGCTAGCATGTGGAGGTCTGTGCAGCCCTCCAAGGATATGCCTCCTCAGACCATCACTGACCCACCACCAAACAGTCATACTGGAGGATGTTGCAGGCAGCAGAACGTTCTCCATGGCGTCTCCAGACTCTGTCACATCTGTCACATGTGCTCAGTGTGAACCTGCTCTCATCTGTGAAGAGAACAGGGCGCTAGGGGCGAATCTGCCAATTTTGGTGTTCTCTTGCAAATGTCAATCGGGCTGCGTGGTGCCGGGGTGTGAGCATAGGCCCCACTTGTACACGTCGGGCCCTCATGCCACCATCATGGAGTGTTACACCCGCAAATGTAATAACAGCCCACAAACGTAATAAACCACAAACGTAATGCAAATCTGCAGCTTTGAATGTAATAATCCCGCAAATGTAATACATTTCCCACAAACGTAATAGCAGCTGCCTACTACAAACGTAACACACAATTTTCCGCAAATGTAATAACTATTACATTTGCAGGAAATTATTACATATGTGGGAAGGTGAAAATCTAAACTGTAATAACTTCCCACAAATGTAATATGAGACTGAATAATGATCTTTGTGGTTGTTGTTGTTTGTTTGTTTACTTATACACCTGCCAATAGTGATGCGTGTGTTGACAAGCAACCCGCAGGTCGGGTGGGGCGGGTCAGAAAGTGACAGAGCAGCGTTCTGAGTAAATTAGAAATAACTTACAGAAACACACACACACACACACACTGGTCATTCCTTGTCAGTTCACAGAATTACTCTGTGGCAGCAAATATGTCGTTTAATTGGATTTATTTTATTTTCTTCTGCCTCTTGTTAATACGGATTTCTCTGCAGCATCTGGCCTACAGTACCTGTTCAGCACCTCGGACAGCGGCGCTGCGGGATGTGTTGGCTCTCATAGGGGGTCAGGTACAGGTTGTAAGGTTTTAAAAACCATGGTTTACAATAACTTAATCCTCCTCCACTCAAAAATGTGTTTTCTTCTTGTTCCTACAGATGAATGTTTGAGCCTCACTGTGCAGAATGATGTATGTGCAGAGCTTGACACTCGAAGGCTGTTTTCACGTTTATCTGCTGAAAATGCTCATATGATTTTAAGGGCTAGGGCTACGAGCCTATGTTGGTGGCTTATGTAGCCTATGTTTGAACCATTTAATTAAAATATGTCTGCATATCAAAAGCCAAAAACTTGAATATGTCGTTCATTCTTTGGAAGGGCTACAAGCATGATTTGTGACATCACAAATATTTTAGAAGCCAGTCACGGTCCAATGTTCAACTTACTTTTTGACCTACCCCACCCGACCTGCGGGTTGCTTGTCAACACACGCATCACTATTGGCAGGTGTATAAGTAAACAAACAAACAACAACAACCACAAAGATCATTATTCAGTCTCATATTACATTTGTGGGAAGTTATTACAGTTTAGATTTTCACCTTCCCACATATGTAATAATTTCCTGCAAATGTAATAGTTATTACATTTGCGGAAAATTGTGTGTTACGTTTGTAGTAGGCAGCTGCTATTACCTTCGTGGGAAGTGTATTACGT